GCTCTCGATGGACCACGTCAACTACGAGATCCGCGTCGGCAAGATCAGCCACGATGGCTTCAGCGAGCGCTGCAAGCAGGCCGGCAACAACGGCGCGTGTGCTGAAAACACCTTGTACAACTACGACGGCGACGCCCGCGGCATGACGACGCAGTGGATGAACTCGGCCGGTCACCGCGCCAACATTCTCGGCAGCGCGTACGACAACGTCGGCTTTGCAGTCAAGAAGGCGTCGGACGGCAAATACTACGCAACGTCCATCTTCACCAAGGACAGCCGTCCGTGTGCCTAAGCACGCTCGATGATATATGTCTGGTAATACATTGTATCGTTGCCACTGCAGCAGGTTTAAATAACGTTACGCTTGTGAAATACTGCTCGTGTTCGTCTTCGGGTGCATGCGCGGCGACCTGGCACCTAACCTCGCGTATCGCGACGAAGGGGCCGGGCCATTGGCACCCATGGCTCCTTACACGACGCGGGGGCTCGCCGGTGCCGAGTCTCTAGTTGTGTCTGGTTTGGTCAAGCCATGCCATGCCAATGCAAGCGTGTAGTGCTGGAGTGGTATGACTCCAGAAAGAGAGTAGCCAAGAGTCTTGGTAGTCTGTGTGCGTGGTGTGGATAGAATCAAGGGTATATACCCTTGATAGAATAGTGCTAGGAGCCATGTGCGGACATCATCACTGCCGTATATTGTGACCCTACTAGTACCCCGCAGTGACCCAACATGGATGGAGCCTCTTGAGGATGGTCTCATGCGGCACAGCCTATCGTTCTATCCACAACACCGGCCTTCATGGTCTTGCTTACTATTTCCAAATCTGCGAACACAATGCAATTGCCTGCTTCCTCGGAGATTGCACTTCCCTCGCTGCGTTGTTTGCGCTGCACAGCAGAAGCCACCACACTTTTCACTTGGTACACTACGTATGTTGGACGCGAGGTGTGCTGAGGGCAGCGCCCAGCACACGCTGCAAAAGTAGTATACTTTTGGCCTGGAGTGGATGCCGCTGTGCTGTGAGGGACGCTGTACCGTCATGTTGATCTGGCGACGCTGCAAGTGAACACACAGCTTTGCTTCCCGTCCAATTAAGAGGGTGTCCTTCGATGCCTCTAATTGCCTCAAATGTTTCGGCCGATCCGCCATTGGACAGTTCCTTACTTCATAAAGATAGGGGGCTGCTGCAGGGCCAACCCCAAGCCCACAAAGAAGCCTACGGTTGTCCCGA